GCTCTTCTGGGAAGGCAACGCACCCTACAGCAAAAACCCCAAAAAAAAAAAAAAAAAAAGAAAAAGAAAAACAAAAACAAAAAAAGCAAAAAGCAAAGGCTCATTCGGCAGTGCAGATAGGAAACTGAGTCAGAGTGGTTCTGGTCATAGCACAGGACAGAATGACGTGCCGGCTGGCCAGGTCAGCCCCTCCAGATGTTCTGTGACCTTCCCCAGGCCCCTCATCATGTGAGCTGAGGGGTGCCCTCTGAGACCCTGGGTGGGGCTGGGTGCAGCCTGAGCAGAGACTGAGATGAGCCTGCTGGGGCCGCCTGCCCTGCGTCTCTCAGACAGCGCACACCCACGCTCCTTCCATAAACGTCACAACTGCTGATGGCTCCGGCCCCAGGAAGCTGAGAATGTCTGGCCCCTGGCTTCCTTCTTAGGTTAGGTTGTCTGAGACCACGAATATAAATCAGAGAGCTGTTATTTTTTCTTTTTCTTTTTTAAGGTTTCTGCCGTAGGGAGCGTACGCTTGCTAGAAAGAGAGAGACAGTGAGAGACAGTGAGAGGAAAAGTGAGAAATCACCCCCCCACACACACACCCCCTCCCGGGAGGTGGGGAGGTGGGAGTGGGGATGGCCACACTTCAATCCCTTCTCCTCCATTCTCTTCTGGGGATTTTGGGCATGCACACACATGCACTTTGCGTGATTTTCAAGTCGCCAGGTCCAGGACTCCAACCACAGTCAGCCACGTGGGAGTCTAGCGCCTTACCTACCACACCACCTACTGCCCACCTGACCCCCTCCCCTAAATGTATCTTTGAAATGTGAGTTTCTTAGGGGAAGTATTACATGTATCAAGGCAGATTCATGGAAGAACATACCTGTGACATGTCTGGTTTAGAGAACATACAGTCTACCCATAGAATTCACCAATAAAGAAACTAAAAAAAAAAACAAAACTAAAATGGTTCTATAATTTAGATGTATTTTTTAAATACAATGACATTTCTAAAAACAAAACAGTAAAGTAAATCTAAGGTTCTAGCAGTTTTGATAGTAAAACTTCCTTTCAGTATATAAACACACATAGCTCAACGAAAATTGATGGCATCTTTCAGAAGAAAAATCGAAACCTGTTTTTGCAGGACTCCTGGGGAAAGAACAGTCACTAACAATGGCTTTCTGTAATTTGATACCTTTAGTCTCTGAGAGAGAAGTACCTTACCATTTAGATACAGTATTATATCTAAGCCAATTCAAATGCATAGTTACTGGGAAACTTTTATGAGATGGACCAAAGCGTAATTCGTAATTACAGTATTATATCTAAGCCAATTCAAATACATAGTTACTGGGGAACTTTTATGAGATGGACCAAAGCGTAATTCATAATTCGTACCTGTGGTCTGTTCAGGCTGACTGGTCTCCTTTCGGACTCTGGTTTTTATAACAAATCAACTTAGTAGAGTGTTTCCTAAGCACTTCTCTGGAATCGTGTGAAAATTCGCTTTCTGTCTCTCTCTGTCTTTCTGGCGAGCACACGTGCCCTATAGCAAAAACCTCTCCAAAAAGATAAAAAGAAAAGAAAAGAAAATATGCCCCTGGACGTGATCAGAGTGTCATGAGAATGGAAGAGGAAGGGCAAAGTCCAAGGACAGGTGACTGTTTGCAGAACCCATAGGAACCACTGGTAAGAAGTCAGGGGACAGCACTCTGGGCAGGGGAGAGCGGGTGCAGACGCAGAGGGGAGGGAAGCTAAGCGTGACCACAGGCTGCCAAGGCCTTCTGTGGGCCAGGCAATCACAGCAGGGAGTCTCCGAAGGCTTCCGCTCCTTTGTTTGGAGGAGGAGGTCAGCGTAATACTGGTAACCAGGAGGTGATGGTAACATGATCCAGGTTACAGGTCTGATCCCTGCAAGGGCAGCTGCTCCCCACAGAGTGAAATGCCATTTAAGGAGACCATGCTGACTCCT